ATTAAACATTTCTTTTACACTTTTTATAGTTTGACATTTGTTTTTATTAAATTGCATATATATTTGCATATGAATTTTTCCACTTTCATTAGATTCATATTGCCAACTAATGAATGAAACTTTATCTTTTATTTTTTCAAATACTACTTGACTCGTAGGTAAAGATTGTTTACATTTTATTTTATTATTTTTACAATATTTACAAATTATATCATTACATTTATTCAAATTACAACAATTTGTACATTTTTTATTTTTACAATGCCAATGACAAGCGTTACAAAGTTCACATAAAGAACTCCAAATTTCTTATAATAATCTTCACGATCACTTTTATCTTTTTTTGATTCTGTTTTCTTACATTTGAATTTTTCACGACATTGATTACAATAGTAGAATGTTGCTGTATTATGGATAAATTGATAAGTTTTTTTTTCTACGATTTAATTTTTTAATGAGACAGAATATAGACTATTTTATATTTTTTATTTATATTGATAGTCTAAAAATAATCATTATTAATTTTATTTATACATATACTTAAAAATATATTACTCTACATCAGGTTAAATTAAATTTACTACATTTAGAATAATAAACTAACTCATTTTTAAAATATATAAAAGAAGCAAAAACAACATATAATTTTTTTTATAAAATTTAATATTTTAAAAAAACTAAAGTTTTCTTATTGTTTTATAATGAATAATAATCAAAAAATTGATGAAAAAATTTTTATATCACTTATTTATCATGCATTTTACAAAAATTACTATCTTGTCATTCCTTATGATGAAAAAAACTAAGAAAATAACAATTAAAAAAGATTTAACTAAAGAAATAATTATTACTGATGAAGAAAAAAGATCATTCAAGCTAGTATTAAAGACAACAATTGAACAGTATAAACAACAAGGTAAACAACTTAAATGAGAAGAAATTTTTAACAAAGTAATTAAAAAAAATCAAGATGTTTTAAATAAAATTAAAAAAAAATTGATTCTTCTCAATATAAAAATGATTTATTTGAATATTTAGATGATTTATTTTTTAAATCTGTTTTTATGCCTAATTAATAATATAAATGAAATATCAGTACTTCTTATTTATTATGTTAATAACATATTATTTTTAATAAAAAATAAATAATTTTTTTTTCACAAATATCAATTTTGCTT